CCCCTCCTCCTCTCCCTCCTTCTCCTCCTTGCTTCTTTTAATATTACTCAAATTAAACACGAAACCCAAGTTTTCTTCAGCCCTGGAAATTCATAATGATTCACGACTTACGCTGCGTAGTCTATGGAAATACCACGAACTGATGAGATTCCAAGCACAGCGTTATGTTATAGATCTATCGATTCCAGAGTGACTGGGGCGAAGACATTCAACGCGTTCAGTGTACGTGCTGTTGCGTTCAGAGATACACAGGTCGTCGGTTTATGTGCGTGCGGTATGCGTCTGTCAGCGAGAGCACAGCGAGTGGAGTAGATATTGAACGCTTTATTTATTGTGTGTGTCTTTCTTGTTCATAACTGTTTTTTGACGAAAGTGCATTGCCGGGTTCTGTATTTTTTATTGCGGTTACGTGACTTTTTCTTCTTCTTCCTCTTCTTGTTCTTCTTTTCTTGTTCTTGTTCTTGTTCTTGTTTTTGTTGTTGTTCTTCTTCTTCTTCTTGTTCTTGTTCCTTTTCTTCTTTTTCTTTTTCTTTTTCTTCTTCTTCCCCCCTTCTCCTCCTCTTCCTGCTCCTCCTACTCCTACTCGCCCTCCTCAAATTCATCTTTCTTTTTCTCCTCTTCCAATTCTTCTCCCCCAAAACTAAAGAAAACAAAACACAAACAAACAATGACCCATCCACGTAGTCACGTAGTCGGCGCAGAAACGACAGATCCGTAGGCTAGTCACTTGTCACTTGTCACTGTATAAGGAAATAATGTTGTCATCACTGTTCTGTCTGTCACCTCACGTATACAGCAAAAAGGTACAAATGTATAGGCCTAAGTGGTTGACAGTGGAGACAAAGCTTGATGTGACTGACCCCAGATCCTGTTGGAGTAGACAGAGGAGACAGGCCTGTGTAGTGTGACAGACCGTATTTTAGATGCATCCTCTACACGTTTGTGGATGTTGTGTGTGTACAGTTGCGTGTAGAGCGCCTTAGTTCGATTCCTCCTCGGCACAGTGGATACAGCACAGACGTCAGTTTCGACGTCCCGGGTTCGATCCGCGTTTGGATTTAAGTTATTCAATAATTTTAAAACAGACCGATTTAAAAATTAAATAAAAAGGATTTAACAAAAACTCAACAACTTCATCTTGCAGGGACTTATCGGAGATGGACTTCAGTTGAGAGGTCTTGTACCTGGAATCATTTGTGTGTTAAGTGCTGTAGTAAAGATCCTGGAGATAGGAAATAGCTCTTTTGTCGTGTGTCTGTCTAGTGCCTTGTGGAGTACGCCGTGAAGTCGATCCCCCCAATCAAGTGTGTAGTGTAGTGTGTTGGTAGTGTGTCGGTAGTGTGTAGAGCACAATGGGGACGAGCGACACAGAGAACAGTAGCGTGTACTCGGAGCGGAGCAGCGCCACAGCACAGTACACATGTGTGCAGTTCCCCTCACATTTCTGCTGGAGGTGCAAGTAAGGACGTGTGAAGGCGTAGCACACACACACGCACACACACACACACGCACACACGCACACACACACACACACACATATACACACACATACCCAGCACAGTACACATGTGTGCAGTTCCCCTCACACTTCTGCTGGAGGTGCAAGTAAGGATGTGTGAAGGCATACCACACATACACACACACACA